CACCTCCTTCTCAAGCCATTCAGAGCTCTTCCTATCAAAGAAAAAAGGAAACAATTTAGTCTCACAAACTCTTGAGTTTACCCCATTTACCTTGATTGTGTTACAATATTTTTCGAACTCGTTCAAGTGTGCAAGAGGGCTCTCATGTTTTGCTCCACTATATTGCCTCCTTTCAATCAAATTAATCATTGCGGGCCGAATCTCGAAGTCATTGACTTGAGTAACGGGTGGAGCATTGCCGCTTGAAGCTCTATAAGCTCCCGGAGTTCCCAACTCCTTTAAAGGTCTTTGAGGTGGTGGTTCCGCGTCACCCATTTGATCTCGACCTCCTCAAAATTGGTCTCCCTAGCTGGGGGAGTAGTAAACGGCTAGAACCGGCTCTTTTCTCCTTCTATAAGTTTTGCTCAATCTCGGGATCGTAGGTACCAAGATCCTGTTATGAGTTCTGCGCATACACTCTCAACAACGCAATTAGTACCAAGGCTACAAGTGTAGCCAAAAAGAAACAATCTTTTTGAAATTTTTTTTATGGTGAACTAGACTCAAGTAATCAATTAGCTATCAACAACACCGTTCCCCGGCAACGGCGCCATTTTGATGGGCGTTAGAACGGTCGTACATTCCACACTCAATCAAACACATTTATTAACAAACACCTTACAAACCAAGCATAATGACAAGTAAGAGTTCGGTCCACAAGGAACGGGATATGATTGCCAAAGATCTTTACACTTAAGCTAACTCGAAGTCAATTGGTGAATTGGGGTTCGTCAAGAAGACAAACAAACTATGGTTCTAAATCAATGAATTAAAGATACTAGGGAATGAGATCCACTCAACCAAGGCAAATAGGCAAACGGGGAGTAAAATAGACAAGATATAGCAAGGACTATATGTAAAATCAACCTCATGCAATTAGAAAACAACTCACACTACTAAACTTAGATTCCTCATTAGTTTAGCAATAGATGATACATAATCAAATTACAATAAGTAATGACGTACTCAATTTACACTTCCATGTCAAATTAGGCATATCATACTATCAAGCTCCTTAGTCAAGGGTAGCTAAACCTATCATGAGGAACTAACAAGCAATCTCATATAATCAATTTAATTGCAATACAAACATCAATGCTTCTCCCACATTTGCATAGTTAACCCAAAAGGTCGAGCTTCACCCAACCCCTAGCAAGAAGACTACTCACAACTCATGTTTATCAACATGCAATCAAGAATTAGGGTTCTAAATACTTCAATAATTGGGGAAAAGTGGTTAACAATTGAAATAACTATCATCCAATAACAAATTACCAAGAACTAAGAAGATTTAAATAACATGCAAATACCAAATAAAATCTGAAATTAAAAGGAAAAGGTTGGAGAAATTACTAATTGAAGCTTCAAATGTTGAATACAAATTGCCAAACTTTGAGAATAATTCTTGAATTTCACTAATACAATGATTTGATTTGATGAAAACTAAGCTAAATTAATCCTAAGGAATGTTTCAAACTAAGAGAGGTTTCTGAAAACTAGGCTACTTTACCCCCTTTCTAAATGAGCTAAAGGGGAAGTATTTATACTCCCCGAAACACATAGGGAAATCCGTCAAAAGAAAACGGATTCCCAGGAGGAGCGCCCGCTCCACAATGAGGAGCGCCCGCTCCACAATGAGGAGCGCCCGCTTGGGAGCGCCCGCTCCTTTCGGCTGCACGCCCTCTCCAGAATGCTTCAATGAAGGATCAAATTTGAAAGTGTCAGGGAGGAGCGCCCGCTCCTCACATGATGCACGCCCGCTCCCCTGTTCCAGCAGCATGGGCAGATTCAATCTCTAAAGGAGGAGCGCCCGCTCCTGGTGAGGAGCACGCCCGCTCCTAACAGTACCTGAACTTGGGCAGAATGTAGCTAGAGTCGAGGAGCGCCCGCTCCATGAGAGGTGAACGCCCGCTCCTAACAGCACCTGAACTTGGGCAGAATGTGGCTAGAGTCGAGGAGCGCCCGCTCCATGAGAGGTGCACGCCCGCTCCCCTGGAGCGCCCTCTCCAATCTTCAATCCTCTTGTCTTAAACACGATTCATGCACCGAAAGCCTGCCTAATTGAGTCCATAGACCTGCAAAACATGGACAAACACAAACCAAAAGGGGGGAAAGCCGAGACAAAACATTTTCATTCAAAATTGGGTTAGAAAGAGGGGAAATGATCGCAAAATCGGGTTTAAATTTACACAATAAGTGGTCAAATAAACCACTTATCAATATACTTATTTCGACAAATAAGAAAATAAGAAGAAAGATTTGATATATAATTATTTCGGCCAATAAGAATAAAAATTTGCATTTATTTTTGAATTAAAAATATACCTTTTTCGACCAATAAGAAAATAAGAAGAAAGATTTGATATATCTATAAATTTTATCTTTTTTAAATTATTGTTAACCAGAGAGTATTAGTAGAATTGATTTTTTTTTTAATTAAGTATAGTGCTTACAAAAGGTTGCACCACGGAGTAGATCAGAAGCAAAAGCCCATAATTGTCAAGCAAATCAGAACGAAAATTCCAAGTTTAATGGAACAAAGTGACTACAAGAAAAAGAAAAACATAATTAGTCAGCACACAAAAAGGCCCAACAGATCTAATCTATTCAAACTTTAAGCTGAGGAAAAGATAAGCCTTATCAAGGCAATTTGCCAAAAGATTGCGGCCTTCTATAATCCGTTGCACACTGTTTTTGGTTAAAGCCTCGAACGAAGACACTCAACAGGTTTATCTATTTTATCAGTCAAGCAAAATATTATCAATTGTTTCGATACTTAATAAAATGATAAAATTTAAGTTGGGAAAAAGATATAAATTGATTTAATTAGCTTATGATTTGTTATTATTATAAATAGGCATTAATTTAATTCACGCACCATCAAAGAATCACATAATACCTCATACAAAACAAATTGCATATTGAGGTTTAAGAAAATGTCAGTGTAATTCCTTAAACTCAATTTTTTTTTTCAAATTATAATTACTGGTAATATTATTTTTAACTATTTTTTTCATTGTATTGTTTCTTAGGTGTGTACTTCGTCGATTCGAGAACTTAATTCTTCCAAAAATGGTTGGAAAATTAAAGTACGCGTATCAAGGCTTTTTGATGTTTTGAACTTTCTAAAACATAATAGTTTGATTAGTTTGGATATGGTTTTAATTGACGAAGATGTATGCCTTTAATTTTATTTTTTTATTTGATAATACTTATCGTTTTAAATTCATTGTGTAACTTACAATATTATTTTAACATATAATTTTATTTTGCACATGTAGGGTGATTATGTCCATGCTTCAATCAAAGGAAAATTTGTCCAACAATTTCGCTCAAAACTAATTGAAGGCAAAGTTTACACAATTCGATATTTTTCTGTTGTACCTAACAAAAATCAATATCGTTTTGTGAGCGATAACAAGATAATGATACAATTTTTTCAAAATACATCTGTTAAGGGCGTTGCAGATAATAATAAAATTCCGTTGCATAGATTTGATTTTGTTCAATTGCAACATTTAGATCAATTCCGTAGTAATGCAACACTCCCTGGTATATATTTTACATATTTTCAATTTTTATTGTTTTAAAGAATATTACAGTATTATCATTCGTTTTACTAACTCTCTCTCTTTTTTTTTTTTTTTTTTTTTTTTTTGTATATCACTTTGTCTTACAAGATGTGGTTGGTATGGTTGTAAACGAAATTGGAGATTCAATTGAAATAGAAGACAAATAGTAATTATTATTTCAATATATTGTATATATTATTATTATTATTATTAATTACGATAAACTAAAACTTATAATTGTAAGATAATTTATATTTGACTTATTCTAGATTTATTAGTAAATTTATTTGTATCTTGATATCATGGTTAGGGGACAACGAATCCAATTAAAGATTTGGGATAAGTATTTTCTGATTATTTAAGACAAAAAGACCTACTTGCTGATTCCAGTAAGCCTTTTGGTATAGTTGTTACTTCAACAATGGTCAAATATTTTAATAGTAAGTATCATATATTAGTCATTATAATAACTTTTTTTTTAAATATTTACAACGAATAACCTAATTTGTCATTATCATTTTGTTTATAGGAAAAATTAATTTAAATACTTCTACATCAACCAAAATTTATATTGATCTTCAAATTTCTGAGGTTGATGAATTAATATCAACTTTATCTGTTCTTATTTAATAATAAAAAAAAATATTACCAAACCCGTGCATTGCACGGGCTTCACACCTAGTTTATAACATACAATAGTTTTAAAGAAGATTTAGCAAAAAAAAAAATAAAAAACATTTTGGAGGGAAAAAATTACCAGGAGATGACATGTGTCACTTCTGGTCTCTCTTTTAGTATATAGTTATTATTGTTATTGATTGATGATTAATTGTTAGTTTATGACCAAACCCATTATGACTTGCTACATAATTAACCTAACATGTTTATAATTAGACCAATTACAACCCGACTCGTTTTAATCTGTTACGCGTTCAACCCAACTTATTTAAGTTATGACTCGATTTTGACCAGATCTGTTCACACTTGCAACCCGATCAACTCAATTTGTTTCCGACTTTCAATTTCACCCGACTTGTTCTTACTTGCTACTCGGTTAACTCAACTTGTTTAGAACTATTCTCGATTTTGACCCGAGCAGTTTTTACCCACTTTTCGATAAAACCAACTTATTTAGGGTTTAACTATTATGAGCAAAAAAAAAAAAAAAAAAAAAAAAAAGGATAAACCGAATCCGAGACCGAACAATTAACTCGAATTGACGCCCTACATAGCGTTCATCTATCTAAACAAAACACATACGAGTATTTTTTTTAGCAACAAAAATAAAAGATTCGTAAGCGATGACGCATGGCTCTCCAACACCAACAACTCAAACAAATGATTGACCAATTCATTCCAAGCCCACTCTAGTATACAGTATCTAATAAATGTTTGATTCTATACCTGGTTTCGCCCTTTTACTTATTTGTACTTTTATTTATTAACTATTCTCCATACATTGTGGTCCTTCACACAACTAAAAAAACCCTTACCACTTACCAGATCTTTTGAGTTTTGCTTCTCAATGGAAAGAACAAGTCACTCTCTCTTTCTATCTAAAAGAAGTGCTTCTTTGACGATTATTCCGCGTATTTTATCTGACTAATTTGGGATATTAATGGTGTGCTTATTGCCAATCAATCTTTATCTTCTTTCACCAATCATACGGTCAACTTAGTAAGACCTTAAGCATTAGATCTTTTTCTCACTGGTAAGCAGCTTCTCAGGTAACTTGTTTCTTTTTGTTTTCATTTGTAATTTAATTAGATTTTAAAAGGAGATTATGAAAAAGTCGAAAAGAATAATGATTTGTAGAAAATTAATCTAATTATGTTTGTTAAACAAGTTAATTACTATTGTTTGATTTTTCTTTTTTGCTCAAATATACAAGGGTTTGAATTCGAATTTGAATTGACTAAATGATGATTATGTAATTGTTTTTAGTTGGATGATTTAATGTTGCTTAAATTATAATAGTGATTGGCAAAGCTCGAATTGTTGAAGAAATTTTAGTTGAGTTGTAAAAGCAAGCTGAATTTATATTGGGGTTTGTTTTGTGGCAGGTGTTTTAGGGGAATAAATGTGTTGTATATCTCATCATAGTTTATTTGAGGTTGAAGCAAAAGTAGGCAGGGATTTATACTGATTGGATTTGAGGGTAAAAAGGCTGTTAGCGATGGCTTTCAAGCCATTGGATTGGTATTGCCAACCGGTGGCGAATGGTGTCTGGGGAACAGCAGTGCAAAATGCACTGGGAGCTTATACACCCTGTGGCACAAACAGTCTTGTGATTTGTGTGTCACATTTAGTTATGATGGGGCTTTGTCTATATCGAATATGGATAATCCAGAATAATGTGAAAGCTCAGAAGTTTTGTTTGAGGTCCAAGTTTTACAATTACCTCCTGGCTTTGTTGGCTGGTTACTCTGCTGCTGAGCCTTTGTTCAGGTTAATCATGGGCGTTTCGGTGCTTAATTTGGATGGGCAGGCTGGTCTTGCGCCGTATGAAGTATGCCCTTCTATTTATTTCTTAAAGTTTGTTATTCAGCTTATGTTTGATGCAAGTAACATACAGAGTGTTTTTTGTTGAACTGCAGTGGGATTCTTATCTTTGCGCTGTGTCATTGAATTAAACATATCTTGCTTTCTCTGTTTCCTAGTTTATACCTCTGTTTGTTCTTTTATTAGTCATTCATTTTATACAAAAATAAAAGAGTCACATGCTTAGCTTAATTCTTTTTTTTTTTGTTCTATTGTTAAAACAAACCAAGATGACCAAAAATATCTAAGATTTGATACTCACTATCTCATATCTTTATAGGAACAGTTGATGAGAAAAATTTTTTTGTTGATATAAATAAAATATAGAAAAGTCAAGCCTTGTATACTGAGATGCATGTTGCGAAAAATAGCTTTTTCAGTCTCTTAATTCTCTGTTCTCTGTATGTCATCAGTATCGTATTAAAAGACAAAACTCTTTATGTGAGATAAAAGTAGTACTTTGTCAGTGTAAAACTTTGTCACATTGTTTGGCATGAGCCACAATGATTGAGAGTAGTACTAGGATGGGTGACCTCCTCGGAAGTCCTCATGTTGGTTCATGTAGCCGACCCCACTTATGGGATCAAGGCGTTCAAGAAGAAGAAGAAGAAGAAGAAGAAGAAGAACAAGAAGAAGAAGAAGAAGAACAAGAAGAAGAAGAATAAGAGGACTTCCTTGGTACAATTTTCTTTGTTAAAAATGAAAACAGGGAAATCTCTAATAAAACCTTTAGTCTCTGTAGCAAATGGATTTAAAATTTTCCAATCTTATTTTTAATCTCTTTGATTAAGTAAATATAAGCTGGTTAGGATATTGTTTACTTTTATGTTTAAGGTATCATATTTTCTTTCTCATTGCTGCCAAAAAGTTGCATAAAACCTCAGCTTATGGTGTCTGTAGTGATGAGAGTTAAAGGTCTATACTCCCTTCGTGTTTTAATAAGTGTTACACTTTGACCGACACATAGTTTTAGGCGACTTAATTGACTTAAATATAATAAGAGGTAAGTGGGGTAGTTAGAGTAATAAAAAAAATTGTATAAGAAAGATAGTAGGGTTAATAGTTTATTGAAAATTAATAAATGTGAGAGGAAAGAAATAATAAAAAAGTAGTAGTCGGTTTGGTTGGGGACCATGAAAGGAGAAAGATATAACATTAAAATGTAGCTATTTGTCAAAGAAGGAAGTGTAACACTTATTGAAACATAGCCGCATTTGGTAAATATAATACTTATTAAAAAAATGGAGGGAGTATATATTTCAGACACAAGCAACAACGAGTCTCTTTGTCTCCATGATATTTATAGTCATTGTTACTGTGATATATACAAGCCTAAAAGTCTGCTGTCTGCAGCTTTAAGGGTAAGTTCTCTACATATTGGCTAAAAGTTTAGAGCATGAGTTCAGCATCTTTTCCCTTTTTCAAAAGGTGTTCATGTACAAAATTTTCCCATTGATTTAGGACTTGCAATATTTCCTACTTGCATTATTCAAATTCTACGCTTCCATTTTGCAGAATCAGTAACACATATTTCCTTCTTCTTCAGGTGATCTCATTAATCATCGAAGCTCTTGCTTGGCTCTCAGTGTTCGTCATGACTGGCATAGAAATTAAAGTATATGTTCGGGAATTCCGATGGTTTGTCAGATTTGGTATCATGTATGCTTTGGTTGGAGATGCTGTGATGCTCAATCTCATGCTTACTTTGAAGGAGCACTATGATAGGTTGGTTCTTACATCTTTAGTGCTTCTTTGACTAACTCTGACATCTTCAGTGCTTCTTTGACTAACTCTTACATGTGATAGAAATGCTTTCTTCTTATGTGCTTGTACCGTATTCAAACCTTCAGTCAATTGTTAAAAATTTCTGAATAAATATATTTATGACAACTGACAAAGTGACACTCTAATGCCTTTTCTCTTTTTTAAGCTCTTCTACAATTCTCTGTTGAAATATATTTTTATCTTAATCCCCTCATTTCCATGGGCGAATCTACATTGGAAGAAGGGTAATTTTACTTAGAAAATGCCTGATAGGCTATAGTTTGGGGCCTTTAATTTGCATTACGAGCATGTTTCAATATGGATGATATTGGTCATGGGTTCTATCTCAGTGCCTAGACATCAACTTGCAATGTAATTTTTTAATTTTATAGACTACAATTTCCTATTTTACTTTTGTAAATAAGCCGTTATATTTTTACTCAAGAATGTAGGTATCAACATAACAAATAATACAGATTGGAAATGTTATCTTAATGGATATGTATGAATCTTGTTTTAATTAGTTTTCTACCCTATTCGAAATTCCTGATTATGCTATTGCCCCGTCCCCTCCACCTCAAGCAAAGGTAAAGTAAGTAAAATGATAGAAATGCGTAAAATACATGAAATAGAGAAGAATGGATTTTATAGTAAATGCGAATTTCATACTTTTAGTTTCCAGTGGGCAGTGGCACATTTATGGTTGCTTCTTTCTTCATCTTCTTCTGTTGTGCTCTTTGTGTACCTCTTTTTGTGTTGCTTTGTTCATCCTCTTGTTTATTTTGTATACCTCTGTTCATCATCTTTAATGATTGTTTCTGCTCTGCAGCTCCTGTTGCATGCTTTCCCTATATAAAGAAAATTTGTGGTTGACTTCAAGCTTGCGTGTATAGAAAGAAGATGATATATATATATATATATTTTTTTTTTTTTTTCAAAAAATAT